GATCACAAAAAGTCCTGCTTCCTTTCTGAGGAAGGACTAGCACAGTTCTATGGCACTGAGCTTTTTCTTTTTTTCTTTCTTCCTAGACTATCTTTCTCTTTCTTTTCTTTCTTTTTTTTTTTTTTTTCAATCAGGTGATGCAAGGGTCTTTAGACTGAGGTACATTACCAGCCCTTTTTCACTTTTTTTTTTTTTAAATTTTTATTTTTTTGGTGGAACTGGGTATTGAACTCAGGCCCTCGTGCTTGCCAGGGAAGTGCTTATTCCACTGAGCCATCTCCCCAGCCCTATTCACTTTTATTTTTTATTGTTTTTGTCTTTTTGAGACAGAGTCTCACTGTGTAGCTCAGGCTGGCCATAAGCTCACTTTGCAGCCCAGGCTGGTCATGAACTTGCAATGATTCTCCTGCCCTAGCCTCCTATGTGCCAGGATTACTGGCATGCACCACAATGCTCAGCCTTTATTTTTTGAGAGTTTCATAAGGTCCCTGGACTTATACCTAAATGCTTAGAGTGCTGGTACACTAGGTCCGCAGCTTATGCTCAAATCATCAGAAAAATAGGGTTTTTTTTGTTTTGTTTTGTTTTTGTTTTTTTTTTTTTGCGGAACCAGGGATCAAACTCAGGCCCTTGTGCTTGCCAGGGAAGCGCTTATTCCACTGAGCCATCTCCCCGGCCTCCAGTCAGAAAAATACTTATCATAAAGGGTGTGCACGTCCACACTGCTGTGCCTGTGTCTTCTGCCCATCCATAAGTGCTGCAAGAAGTGCATTAGCATGTGAACAACCAGTGAGCTGGGGAAAGAGGTGTACAGGTTCTTTGTAGGGTTCCTACAGCTTTTTTGTGAATTTGAAATTATTTCAAAATAAGTTACCAAAAAAGACTGCTCAGGCTGGGGATATAGCTCAGTGATGCGGCACCTGCCTAGCAAGTACAAGGTCCTAAGTTCAATTCTGATGCCAAAAAAATGAATAAAAAAGATTGCTCATAGGGCCTGCTGTCATACTCCTGAAATGTCAGCACTTGGAAGGTAAAGGCAGGAGGCTTGAGCGAATTCAGCATCAGGGCTGTCTGGTACATTTGAGGCCAACCTGGATTTCATAGTGACCAAATGAATAAATGCTCAATATTTATTGCAAATATAGCAATTATTGTAAGTAGTGACTTACAATATACATAGAAGTAAAATATATAACAGCATAAAAGAGAAAAGGGGGTAAATGGAGTTATTTATTATATGTCTAACATCATTTGTGTGGTGGTATAACAATTCATAATGGACTATGACAACAGTGCATATTATGGGACTGGGGGTGCAGCTCAGTGACAAAGCTTTTGCCTAGCACACACAAGATTTTTTTTAATTCTCAGCAACACACACACACACACACACACACACACACACTCACTGTAACTTCTACACCCATTTTAAAATAATTCAAGCTAGGTGTGATGACACACAGCTGTAATCCCAGTATTCTGGGAGGCTGAGGCCAAAAGATCACAAGTTCAAGTCTAAGTCAGGCAACTGTGCCTTTGTGATTTAGCAAGACCCTATCTCAAAATTTAAAAATTAATTTTAAAATGCAGCTCTGTGTAAAGTCCTACATTCAATTTCTTTTTTTCTTTTTTTGTGGAATCAGGGATTGAAATCAGGCTGTTGCGCTTGCCAGGCAAGCACTTATTCTACTGAGCCATCTCCCTGGCACTCTTAGATTCAATTTCCAGTCAAAAAAAAAAAAAAAAAAAAGAAAAAAGAATGAGAAAACCACATAACTATCAGGCAGGAGTCGGTGAAGAGACATAATGATTTAAGTACAAAGAATCCTAGACTAGAAAGAAAGGGTATTAGGGGAAAAGCTTAAAAATATAAATACAGGGCCAGGGATATAGCTCAGTGGCACATGCTTGCATGGCAAGTGCAAGGTCCTGAGTCTGATTTCCAGTACCCATCCCCCCCTCAAAAAAAAAAACAACAGAAATAAAAATATAAATATAGCATGTTTTCTTTTGTTCTATTGCCTCCTTGGGCCTCTGAAGGCAACGCCGATCACCAGCAGCTCTTCTGGAGCCTCCCAAGGAGACTCTGTGAGGGCTCTCACTCTTGCCACCTGTACTCAAACTTACACTGTCTGGAAAAATGAGCTGCCAGTGTTTCTGTCAGAACACAAATGATACTGGCTTCATCATGCTGGACTAAGTGATCATCCTTCAATGGAGTATCCAGGACATGCACTCACTGAGAGACCACACTAATTCTTTGTACATAAAATTAAAGATTTTAATAGCTTTAAAAAAACACTGGGCAAGGTGGTGCATGCCCTTAATCCCAGTGCTGGGGAGGCTGATACAGGAGGATCACTATGAGTCTGAGCTGCACAGTGAGACCCTGTATCAAATACATAATGTATGAATAAGTATGGAATTTTGTTAATACTAATATATGAATACTGGCTCATTAATCAAAGATCTCAAAGTAATGTATTAGTAAAAAGTGGCTGTGAGCATAAGGCAAATGAGAGTTCTGTATAATCTTCACAATTCTTTAAATCTTAAAACACTGGGGCCGAGGGGCCGGGGAGATGGCTCAGTGGAATAAGCGCTTCCCTAGCAAGCACAAGGGTCTGAGTTCAATCCCCGGTTCCGCCAAAAAAAACTCCAAATATTGGGACTGGGGAGATGGCTCAGTAGAATAAGTGCTTTCCTGGCAAGCACAAGAGCCTGAGTTCAATCCCCGGTTCTGCAATAAATAAATAAATCAATCAACAAATCTTAAAACATTCTAAAGTTGGTTAATTATGGGGCTGGTGAGACAGCTCAGCAGTCTAAAATGCCTGCTTAGGAAAGCTTAGGCAAGAACTCAAGGACCACAGTTCAATCCCTGGCACCACATGCTGCGCCAGCCCTGCCCCCAGGGTGGGCCAAGTTGGCCACAAAATAATGATGATGATGATGATGTTGGTTGGGCCAACCACATAGCTCAGTGGATTAAAGTGCAGGTCCATTAAAGTGCAGGTCCAGAGGTTTGATCCCTGGGCCTGCTGTGCCAGCCGACCCTGGGCGTGCTAAGATGGCAACTGAGACTGGGAGTGGCACACACCTGTAATCTCAGGTCTTGGGAGGCTGTAAACAGGCAGATCACTACAAGTCTGATCTAGCAGTGAGACCCTGAACACCCACCTGTAGACCCTTCCCCCTCAAAAAAA